AACAGTCGAAAAGATATAATTCATACAATCATCTAGACTAATAATGAATTAAAACAAATAGAGGTTAATTCACAGTACAAATAAAAAAGTTAGGATTAAAACTAAATAAATAAGAAGTACTGATTAGAGACACAAATATCTAATTAAATCGCTGTCTTTTTCTCTTAGATACATTTGAAGCAGAACGAGTACAATTATTAACTTTTGAAGATTTAGATATAATGGAATTTGATTTGATTAACGTGGAGTTGGTGAGATTAATGGAGTTGTCATAGGTAACTCTGCTTGACTATCATTTTCTTGATCATCATCGGTGTTGCGATCGTCGCCTGAATTTTGTTTTCTACCGATGGCCAATGAATATTTGCCGGATTTGAAATGTCGATAGATATTCGAAAACTAAATCAAAGGATCTCTTTTTTAGTACATAAAATTTAAAGATTAAATTATTCAATCTCTTACTCTAAGAATTCCTCGTTTTTGTGTAATAGCATGTTTCGTGCCACACTTACATCGACTAATATAATTCCATCTCGTTGTTTATTTAATTCAACAAGCAAATAGATACCTTGTTGAAAATTCGTATTCATTAAATTTAGTTCTTGTTGGTCTTTCTTGAGCCAATCGATAATAGTTGTTGAAATTCTATTTGACATCTGATCTATAAGAGGATTAGATGTAGTTGAAAAATAAAGTGATGACGAGTTAGATAAATTAGTAAACATTGATATATCTGATGGTGAAGGTGTATGAATTGTCGAATAGTATGTCGGTACAGTTGTTGTTGCTAGATTGGGCGAAGTGGTGTTCGGAGCTCTTTTAAGGAGTTCGATGAGATTACTAATCGATGATTCAAGACCTGGTAGAAGAGCAACGGATCCGTCACGTAATGTAATGCATGTATTTTTTTAAAGATCATTTAATTGATCAGATTCAAGATGCAGTACAGCAGTACATTCTTTACATCCAATAAATGAGTCAACTCCATTCCAATTTTGAAAGGCAAGCAGCTCTGCCACTCGATTTTCAGAAATTTGACGAATAAAATCATAAAAGGCTTCATCTCGTAGATCCATATTTTTCAAAGGAAGTACTTTTTCTATCCATATGTCAATATTTCGAAATAGGTACATCAAAAGCAGCAGAATTAAGAAATGAACAGTTCGTCTGTGAGTTTGTGTGAACAGAGGGAAATGAAATGGTAACAACAAGAGAAAGAGATGTTTATTTTTTTTTCTCATTCTATCTTGTGTCACATGAACGCGTGAACGCGTGAACATACGACAAGAAAAAAGAAAAATATCGCCTCAGACTGCATATCGATTGTCTATTGTTCATCATGGCTGTCCTGAATTTATAGAATACACGACGATATAATTCTTCCTGCACCGACAACTATTATGTAAAGTGAATGACAATTCGCGTTATTGTTTTCAATGAAAATCACTTTATTCTGAACAATTATTAATAGTTACTATTGATTGACAATGATTATTTTGATTGCAATGAGCTTTTCCCCTTGTTCTAGAGTATGATAGGATCTCTACAAAAACCTATGAATATCTCGATTTGCATGATTTCTCAGTTCGACATCTTCTACAATCCTTCAAATCTGATCAAGTCCACCGTCGAAAATATTAACCTCGATATCAAACATTTTTTCATGTCGTGAAATCCTTAAAACCGTGAACTCGCACACAAAGTCCTATACTCTCTATAAAGGGTTTTCTGGAGAACACAATTTTCTTGACTACCCAGTAAGACATCTTTTGAAATCCTTCGAATCGCATAGAATCTACCATCAGGGCCTATATTCTGAAAACCGATATAGTATCTTCTTAGGATATCTTTAAGTTCGCTGCTGTGCGATAATAGTTCTATAATCTCTATAACAAGTTTCTGGAAGAACATGATTTCATTCATCTTCCAGCTCGAGATCTTTTGAAATCAGGAGGGTCAAACAGGTCATTGGGCCTATCTGACGTGCGTTTTCTGCATTTTCAATGAAAACAACTTCATTTCTTGAGTAGAAAGTGCAAATTTCAAAATAAAATATAGAGAATTTTTGCTCTGGAATGTAAGAAATGACTTTTGCATCAGTTTGACTCAGCGCAATCAGGAGTAACAACAAATTATCATTCAATTGTTCATTGTCCATTCATTTATTTAGTTTATTTATACGTTTTGGTAGATTAAGGATCATACTTGTTAAATGGTTGTTTCAAAAGTTGTACATCAAGCATTTACGTAGTATTACAAATTTATAGTTTCTTATGCGTTCCGACTAAAAAGTCATCGTCCATTTCTTCATAACATTATGTAAGATGATTAAAATTGAAAAGCAGCTTTTCCTCAACGTTGAAAGCTTCTGCTTCTCTCCACTCAATACTTGTATACCTCAATGAATGAATAGATGTTTTATTTCGTCATGTTATTTTGATATCAAAACACTGTTCTCTCTTCTTACAAAGACAGTTTTCTACTTCCACTCAATTATAATCCAATTATTCGTATACAAAAAGGAAAGACCCGACTTATCAAGCAGGCAAGCCAGGCCAATGAAAATCAAAGACAGGCATACGATCACAAAAAGCTTCATAGGTTGTCAAGTGCCAGCAACCTATGAAGAAAATAAGAATATTTCCATCTCTGCCTCCACTACTTGACATATCATACAATCCAAAATGAACCTGACCATTCTTCATAAAAGCCACTACCCAAAGCCATTCGATCCTCGGAACCCTTCGATATCTATAATACTGCCTTACCCTATAGCCGGATATTCGACGGCTAGCAATTTCCATGTCGTTTCGCTTCTCGATGTTCTGGACATCTTATAAAGTGATACATTCCCTCATGGACTGCAACATTCTCAGATCCAGACATTTCTACTGCCATGAAATCCATGGAGACCTTCGTTGCTGCTGAGAACCATTGTGTACACAACGGAGGTTTTCAGAACATACTCTTCTGTGCTGTTTCACACTTCCAGCGCATATAGCATCCTTGGAATCATATACAATCCATCATGAACCACAAGAGTCTGACTACCATATATTTCTTGATCACTTACAATCTTTCATAAGCTATCAAAGACCTATACTAACAACAGCCGCTGCCAGGATATCTCAATTTGAACAGGTTGCCACTTCGAATTCCTTTGGAATCCTAGCAACCTGATACAATCCAACATGATCCATCATATTCTCATTACGCCATATTCTTTCCTGTCATCGCACGATTCGAATACATGGTATCCTTCAACACCTTCATAGTCACCAAAGAAACTTACTAGTATACCTCCAATTACAATGTTTCCATCTTCAGCATCTTTTGCAATCCTTGGAATCTGCTAAAATTCATCATAATCTACAATATTCTGCATGTCAGACATTGTTTCATTCCATCGACTCCGTGGACTCATTCCTATCCACCAAAAGCCCTATGGTGACCATAGGGGTCTTATGCAGGTCTAGGTTAGCATGGGTTTCCACTTCAGGATCTTTTGGAATCCTTCGAATCTGATAGAATTCATCATGATCTACAATATTCACAATACCAGACATTGTTCCCTAGCCTGAAAGGCTAGGTTCTAGAAACGGAAATTCACCTGTGTCTGCCTGTAACACTTGGTACAAATGACCATTTTTGTGGTACAAGTGACCATTTTCATGCTACAAAAATACTACTTTGGTGGTGCAGGCGACCATTTATTTGACACAATTGGCCATTTTCATTAGACAGATGACCGTTTCTATGGCTCAAATCAGCATTTCCACGCCACAATCAACAGTTTCTATGGCACATTTGGCAATTCTTATGGCTCAAATGAGCATGTCTGTGTCACAATTAGCCATGCCCGTATTAGAAATGACCATAACTTTGGCATAGATCACAATTACTAGACGTCATAATTAACTAAAGCATAAACTTTATCATCTACATTAGCATCTTTCAATATATTACCTGAACTATTTGTATATCAGAAATGGGATCGGCTGGCATTTTTGCCAAACCGAACCAGCCGTAACCGAAAAATCTCTAACCGAACCGAACTTAACCGACCGAATTTTTCAAAATATCTAACTGAATCGACCGTAACCGAAAAAATCTCTAACCGACCTGAACGTAACCGACAGAAGTTTTTCAAAATCTCCAACCGAATCGATTTCGGTTACGGTCGGTCGGTTAAAAACCGAACCAATCCCATCTCTGTTGTATATATCTACAGTATGTAATATAGAATATGTCACAAAGATTAACAATTTCTCCTAAACACATCATTATACACAGTTCATTTTTATTTACAAATATAAGGACATACTTGTCATCATTCCTCACTCTAGGGCCAAGTGAATCGACATTCAATGTCGATGCACGTTACTTGTTTTATATCATGGAATCCTTGGAATCGGTGATATCCTCTGAAACTCCTGTAGCGGCCAAAATGGCTCCCAAGGAGGTCCAGAGTTGCACGGGTTCCCACTTCAGGATCTTTTAGAATCCATGGAATCTCATAGAATTCATCATGATCTACAATATCCGAAATACCAGACACTGTTCTATATCATGGAATCCTTGGAATCCTTGGTTTCGTGTGAAAGTCCTATGGAGACAATAGGGATTTTAAGGAGATCCACAGTTCCATGGGCTGCCACATCGGGATCTTTTGGAATCCTTCGAATCCGACAGAATTCATCATGATCTACAATATTCGAAATGCCAGACTTTGTTTTCTATCACGGAACCCTTAGAATCCTTGGTTTCGTGTGAAAGTCCAATGTAGACTATAGGACCTTTAAGGAGGTGCAGAGTTGTATGGGTTTCCACTTCGGAATCTTTTGGAATCCTTCAAATCTGATAGAATCCATCATGATCTACAATATTCAAAATGCCAGACTTTGTTTTGTATCATGGAATTTTTGGGATCCTTGGTAACGTATGAAAGTCGGATGGAGACCATACGGGTTTTAGAGAGGTCCAGAGTTCGACAGGTTCCCACTTCGGGATCTTTTGGAATCCTTCGAATCTAATAGAGGTCATCTTGATCTACAATATTCGAAATGCCAGACTTTGTTTCCTCTCATCGAATCCTTGGACTCCTTGGAAAGGCGTGAAAATACGTATGGAGACCATAGCGGTTTTACGTAAGTCCACAGTTGCATGTGTTCTCAGTTCACAGTCTTTTGGAATCCTTGGAATGTGATAGTAGTCATCATGATCTACAATATTCGAAATGCAAGACTTTGTTTCCTCTCATGGAATCCTTGGTAATGCCTGAAAGGGCCTTTGAAGACCATAGGGGGTCTCGGGAGGTACAAAGATGCATGGGTTCCCACTTCAGAATCTTTTGGAATCCCTGGAATCCAATAGAAGTCATCATGGTCTACAATATTCGAAAAGCCAGCCTTTGTTTCCTCTCATGGAATCCTTGGAATCCTTGGTAATGCCTCAAAAGGCCTATGGAGAGCATAGGGGTTTTTGGGAGGTCCACAGTTCTATGAGTTCTCACTTCACAGTCTTTTGGAATCCTTGGAATGTAATAGTAGTCATCATGATCAACAACATTCGAAATGCCAGACTTTGTTTCCTCACATGGAATCCTTGAAATCCTAGGTACTGCGTCAAAAGTTCTATAGAGACCATAGGGGGTTTA